GTTTAGACTATAGCTCAGATGTGTAAACGGACCTTCAGTAAGTAGTCCGACAACCTCATTCCGACCGTTTTGATTCTAAGTCCAGGGACAAGAAACTTTGCGGGAAGCTGGGTTTGGGCATTTTACATGCAAAAACTGTGAAGTTAGCATTTAGCGAACTGTAGCGTTTCACTTGAATGTCTCCTGTGACAGGCAGCCTCGTTGCAGAGGGGACCTTGACGGAGGGGAGCAGCGCGGTGCATCTGATCCCCGTGCAGACCGGAGACACAGTGTGCCTCGGCTGGGTAAAGGTATATAATCCCAGTTTCCATTTCATCATCCATTTTCTTGTCCATTTGATTCTCCATTCTTGAGGGTAATATTTGTAAGGGATCCCTAGGGGACGGTGTTTGGTGAACCACCAACCCTAAACCCTACAGTCTGACCGGACGACGTGGGTGGTCCAGTCTTTTAGCTTTGGCAAAAGCAGGGCGATGACTGTTCATCCTGGACGCCTGGCAGAATTTGGGTTGAGTCGCTTAGGGTTTAAGGGTTTGGGGTTTGGGGTGAGTGCTGGGCTCTTGGGTTCCTTTGCGTCACATGCAAGTCTGGCAGTCCTTCAAAGTGTGATGTGCCAGACCGAACAGTCTGTGGATACTCTGAACTGGCCGGGTGCGTAGGCTAGTGACTTGTGCAGACCAGAACCTGGGGCACACATCACTCCGGCCCAGGAAATGTGGCAATTGAAAGGCAGCAGATCAGCTATGATGCTCGGCGTGAGGATTGCATGTGGTTTTGGGCTTGTTTTTCTATCAGTGTGTACAGTAGTGCATCAGCGTGCTAACTCATGAATGGGGTCTGAAAACACCAACTTATCATCTTGTGTGTTGCTATCTACAGAGCTGATTTCCAGAAACCAAGGACTTGAAAGAAGAAGACTGGACCTCGATCATGAGCGTCCAGGACTGCTCTTGTGTGTGGGGCCTTCCGGAAGGTCTTCTGTGTGATGCCGCATGAACATCCTGGTCGCATTGCTTGCTGCCTTTTAGTAGGGAATAGGGGAATGTAATCGCTATTTGATCCTTATCTACCATACTCCCGTATTCCCTACTAGCCACCCCAGTAAGATTGGTTGCTGGGAGGCGAGCGACACTTATGGTCAGAAGTTCCTGCAGATGTGGACCACTACTGTCCAAGGCTCTCGAGATGCCATGCTGTGGAGGATGATGTGGGGGTTCCCAACAGTAGGGGTATTTGGAGATTCAAAATTATGGGTACCTTTTTTGGGGGTCCCTATAATAAGGACTATAGTATATTGGGGTCTATATTGGGGTCCCCTTATTTTGGGAAGCTACCATTTTTAGGGGTCCCAATACAATAACAAGGATGATTGTATTTTGGGTCTGTATTGGGGTCTCCTATTTGGGGGAAATACCATGTAGCAGTAGCACGAGCAGCGCGCGGAGACACAAGACAGCTGTAAGCTCTCTTGCTCGCCCTGGAAGGCCGGATGCTGTGCGACCACAATGCAGTAGCGGCCCCGGTTTGGAGCACTGGTCCAGAGGGTGGCAATAAATTCTGGAGAAGCAAGCAAATCCATGGTAACGGCACTCAATCCAATGGTGCCTGTGTAATGGGGCAGTTCAGGTTGATGCTATATCGGCATCGTTCTGGCCGACGAGCTTTACCGGTTTCCAGCAGCTTGAAATATCTGAGCTGTACAGCGTACGGAGGCACTAGTTGCAGTATCAAAGCCACATCATGCGATGACGAGGGACATGTTCCTGGCTGGCGACTTCATCTATTTTGAGCCTTGCCCAAAGTTCTAAGCTGCGGTGGCCGATGAAGCCATGTTTGGATATCAGGCCTAGAAGAGAATGGGACTAGTTGGGGCGGTATGAAACGGCCACCCAGGTTCCGGGGAGCGGAAGGTCAGAACTGCACCGTGCTGACGCAGCGACGATGACACAGGCTTCTCTGAAGCTGTCAGGTCTGCTGTATCTGGTTGCGTGGTTTTCAATGCCAGGGTCTTCTGTTTTGATGGTTCTCTTGTGCAGATGCTTTGTAGGTGGACTAAAAGGACCACACGGGTGCATTTTCAAGACCTTTGTCATAGGCATTCCAGGCAGATCACAGGTTCTCTTTAGTTGCTAGTCTCCCTAAATAGGGGGACCCCAATACAGAATCCAAAACATTACAATCCTTATTATGGGGATCCGCAAAACGGTACTCCAAATTTTGGGAAACCCTAAATCCTATGTTACCCTGAATAACCCCCTACACACTCCCTTTAAAGGGTACTCCCAATTTTGGGGAACCATTTTGGGGAACCGCCAAGACCCCTTGTCAAAGTGGAGTGAGCTGCCTTGCTAGGTCCAGAGCCTGGACGTGGGCGGTAGCTTCTCCTCTGGGTTTGCAGACTCGAACGCGGCCTATGTCTACTTGACTCCAGATAGCGCCTAGCATCTAACTTGAGGTCTAAACTCCTTAAAGGGGGTTATGTAGGGGATTCTATGGGGAGTATTATGGGGGTTATTAAGGGGCATGCTAGGAGTTTAGAATATGGCTCATCTGACTTAGGGGAGTGTTTGGCGGAGGTCTCGAACTAAGGCGGGCTTGCCTCAATGATTTGGATGTATGAGAGGGTACCTGCCGTCTGTTGCCCTTTCCACTTGAGATCAACCTTAATGAAGGCTAATTATCCCTAAGTAACCTTAATCAGGGGGAACCTAGGAACCTAGGGGGGATTCGGACATTCAGGCGTGCGAGGCAGTGGCGTTTGATGTGCGTACTGTGCCACAAATGACACGCCGCTATCGCGGCAGTTTCAAAGCACATCTCCTGTGCGAAGTATTTTTGGGCTCTAGTTATTTCCTCAAAATCTATGACTATGTATGCCAAGGTTCTGGCTACGCATTCAAGCGCGTTGACACTGGTCAGTTCGCTAGCGCCCAGAGCGTGGATCTTGCCTACACGACCGGGATGCACACACAGCCGTTGCGTTGAGATCAATATGACTGGTCAGTTGTCATATCCGTGCCAACCCTGACGTGGGACATGTGACATTCACTTGAAGCCGCTCCTGGTGATGACTAGTGCTAAGAAAGCCTCGGCAGCACCTGGTCTTAGGGTTGTGACTGCCGGATCCTTGCGGCAGGAGCTACCTTGGCGGCTTCGCGGTGGATAGCTACGTGTACCTTAATGTTGTTGAACCAGTGTGGCTTCGTGCTTGGTAAACATTGGTGCGGGTGTATCTGGGAAGCGTGCTAAGAGTCTGACCGAAAAAGCAGGCCTTCAGCTTGCAGTTGCAGTTGTTTTTTTGCATTCTCGAAGAAGTAGTGCCATGATTTGATTTCCAGCTACTTCGCCAAGGTATGTTCTTCCTGGAACCTTCTCCCAGGGTGTTATCAGCAGAGTGGACACTGCCGGTTTTTCGACGGTGGGTACACTGTCGTTGCCTGCGGTCGAGCCTCGCAGTGTTTGGTGCTGAAATGCGCAAGTGTGTGTGGCAGCCGTGCGTCAGCCAACTTCCCTGAACCTACAGTACCCTGTGCCCTTTGAGGACACATCATTACGGGATTTCGCTGGTGGTTTCTATTCTGGAGAGTGGGGTGGCCTTGACTGCATCTCTGGGAGATCTTTGCAATAAGTTTTCAGGCAGGTGCCCTTTGCGACTGGCAACAGGAGAGGCAGATGAAGTGCTCACAGAATGTATGGTTCACTCAATTTTTGGGACCCACCATATACCCTAAACCCTAAACCCGAACTAGTAGTTTCCATTTTCTTTTCCATTATCCCAATATGTACCCCTTTCTCGTATGGTGAGCTTTTTTCAGGTTACCTGGTGGGCTTTCAGGACCGACCTTGCTTCCGAGCAGTTTCAATCAATGCAAGATTTGACACATAAGCTGTAGTCTAAACTCCTGATTTGACACATGAGCTGTAGTCTAAACTCCTAGTATCCCCCGTAAGCCCTTTAGTAGTCCCCTACGTAATCCTCTATATGGTAGTTTCCCAGAATAGGGGACCCCAAGATAGATCCCAAAATACCATAATCCCCATTATAGGGAACCCCAAAAAGGTTCCCCTAATTTTGGGAAATCCCCATGACCCCCTTTAGGAGTTTAGACTGTAGTTTACATCAGGTACTTCAGCATGCCCCAGGCTCCAGCCGGCCGGAAGGGCGTCAGTGGCTACATAGGGGGACCCCACTAGAGACCATCATCCTTAATTAATACAGGTACCCCCAAAAAGGGATCCCTGATTTTGGGACCCCCCCCATATAAACCCTAAACCCTAAACCCGAAATAGTAGTTTCCATGTTCTTTTCCATTATCCCAATATGTCCCCCTATCTCATATGCTGAGCTTTTTGGGAGGACAATGCCAATGCCGAGAGCAGCAAGGTGGTCCGCTTCAAGCTGGCAGCCTTCTCAACAGCAGATGTGGCAGCTCTGCTGAGATTATCCATTTCTCACATTCCTCAAAGGGGGTTTATATATAGGGGATTATTATAGGGTTTAGGGTTTAGGGACTAGGGTTTAGCGTTTAAACTCCTTAAAGACATAGTGAGAAGATACCAAAAGCCAGATCCGAACAACTGGCGGAAATACAATGAACATATCCGTAATTATTTATTTG